AGAGAGAGAGAGAGAGAGAGAGAGAGAGAGAGAGAGAGAGAGAGAGAGAGAGAGAACGCGAGCTTGTGAGCGCGCACGCGTGGGGGGGCAGTGTGCATGCGGGGAGTGCGGGGGAGTGTGTTTGTGTGTGCGTGTGGATGTGAGTGCCTGGTTCCCTCCCTCTGATACACACACACACACACACACACACACACACACACACAAGCTCGTCTGAACTTGAAGACATCTCACAATCCAAGAGGCTGCAGGTTCCTGGGGATGCCCTGGTTTCTTCAATCAGGAAAATCCTAACCTCGCCTTCCTAGAAGGGATTATCTTTTCTTTCCTTTTTTCCCTTTATTATTATTTTTTTAATCTGGAAGAGAAGAGCACAAGTTGTACTCCCCCTCCCGCCTCTTCTTGCTAAATGCCATGGATATAACTGAATAAGCTGCTCAGGGCTCTCCCCGCGTGGATGGTCCGAAGCCACCATCTGCCTGCCTTCGCTGGATCGCTGGAGTGGAGAGCTTAGTGTGAGCCTATCTTCAGCCAGGAAGGATGCGTGGCCGAGCCAGGGAGCCCGGGCGCCCTGCGGAGCCGGCCTCGGAGCCTCCCAGCCGCGGGTAGATGCCGCCTTGCCCAGGTGAGTGGCTGTCACTGCTGTGTCTTGGTGATGCTGGATTGTCCGCGGGAGATGGGCTCAGGGATGTGCGCACACCGGGAAACAGGGGAACTTTGCCTCTTTCCTGCCTCACTTGAGGACTTCCTCCATCCTGGGTACTGGTGTGGCGATTTCTCTTTTTCAACCATTCTCCTTTCTGGTGTTTTGACAATGTGTGTGGCGAGGGGGTGAAACTGATGGGGAGCGGGGAGAGCGGGTCTGGGTGAGGCTTGGGTCCGGGTGAGGCTTGGAAGTCAGAGAAAGAGACCCCAGCCGCCTACAAAGGCAACCCTTGAATGCAGAACTTTGCCGCCAGACCACTCTGTTGCATCTCAGCACATACCAAGCCAGGCTAGGATGTTGCTGGGTTCTGGGCGAAGGCTCTGGGGTCTTCCAGCTCTTAATGCCTGGCCGGGGTAGGGTGGAGATAAGCGAAGGGTTGATGCAGTGCCATGGAAGGGAGGGAGACATGGTTGCCGTTGGAGGAGACAGGCAGGACAGGAGCAGGGACCCTACCTTGGCTTCAGACAGATCTTACCAAGATAAGGAGCACCGTGTGTGCCCGCAAGGCTTGGGGAAATAGAATGCCATGATGAAGCAATATGTAAGCTAGCATTAGCCATGCCCAGGTTGGTAGGTCTCTGTCTCCTACCCAGCCCTGCCCGGCTTCTAACGCTGGCCTGAACAAGGAGTATTGAGAACGCCACACAGTTCC